TGATGCGACAGATTACCTGTAAATGACATGCGACAGACAATCGCCGGAACCTTTCCAATTTTTATTGGTTTAGAAGACATGTGCGGAAATGCTTCATAAGACATATTGGCTGGTGTCACCTTCTTCATGATTTCGAATGCCTTCGGGCCGACAAGAGACAGCGTACTCAAAAACCTTGACACGTTAGTGACTTCGGCAAAAAATTTGTTCTCGTTCGAGGTGAAGTTTAACCACCTAAATTATGAGTTGTCACTATCGAAAACGTAAACCTCGTGTTATATACTACCTTAAATTTCTCGCCTCCTGTTCTGCGCCACTTACGAGAAGAAACGAATTCAGCATGTTATGACGCATCACCTTCATCTGAGACAGAATTTTGCCCGTTGGCGTAAGCATACATGAATATATCGCTTTTCCGGCCTAAAAGTAAAACAGCCACGTAGCAGATCAACAGAAAAGCAGTGAACTAAAAACTTCAGGAATATCGTCAGGTCTGAAAATTTTTTATGTAAAAGCTAGCAATCACCTAAATGCAACAGAAAACCGTGTTAACCTACAGATGATGGAAAGAATACGACATTTATCAATATTGACGCTATATCTGACCCCAGCTTAAAGCGATTAATGCTGCTTCTTTGTGTAAAAGCAAAAAAGAACAAGCGGTGATACCTCGGGTGCCCGCTTCGCCAGTACGTAGTTCAAAAACTGCTCAGCCATTTTTCCGCGAACTTCAATTATGCTGAGGAACGACAGATCGATAATGGCACATTTCTCCGTGATCAAGCGGTACTCGCGTTCGACTGATCTATCGTAACCGTCACCATGCGGGTCGTAATACATGGCGCGTTCCCATCCTGTAAAAATATTTTAATCAACAGCGCAAATAAAAATGAATTTCTGAGTTTAGCAAACTACAGACCCGGTATCACTGTCAGTTTTAAAGACCAAAGGGCGAAAATTTGAAGCAAATTTATCTGAAGACAAGAGAAAAGTGCGAAGAGGACGGTTTTTTCCTACTGATGGTATGACCGGTTTAAAGGTAATCATGTCCTGTGTGAAAAGGACGGGTTTGCACAACTGACATGCGATCTTAATGCGTACAAATTTATAAGTCAGATTCATATTTCAATCGGAAATGAATCAAGATGCCATCCGGCTGAAACTGGAGTTCACTTTCTTCCAAAGTGCGGATTTGTGAAACGTCGGAAGACACTTAGAAAGCAGTTAAAACGCATTATTCCCCAGAAAAGGTACAACGATCAGTCTAAACCATGCCTTTAATTGAAAGATATTCGTTAGATGAACCAACTTTTCTAAGAATCTATAAGTTCATGCACCCATGTGTAATTAGCTGTGAAAATTCTAATTCAGTGATACTTTGATGATGCCACTAGTGTGAAAATGAAGCGCATTAGTAGTGAAGTTTCATCACCGGCATTGTTTAGTGTAATCAACTACGGATCAATAACTTACCCATAATTCTAATAAGGGTTCTGCGTCGAAGCTGTCAGTTCTTCAATACTTCAGTATATTTAGATTTAGTATACATAAAAAGCAGAACTCAAACAGGATCCGTCATCGTAGCCTTCCGGATCGCCATCGATATTCACAAACATTGCAACATGAGGCAAAAATTTGCAGCTCCTTCAATAATTAAGAAGGATTTGAAGCTGAAATAGAAATGCTGCATTTCCTACGGAAAAAAACTGTGTAAACCTTACCTAGCTACCTATTCAACCTCATTTGATTTAACACTACCCAGAATAAAGTGCTGAACCCAATTTGTAAATGTATCGTTCATCCATTTATTCATTTTTCTTGCAAAACCAATTTTAAAAAGTGGCTAGGCTAGGAAAGTACAAAGATATCTTTAAACTGTATCTTTACAAAGAATCCAAAAAATGCCATCTGAATTGCAAAGTGCAGTCGTTTACAAAATACCGTGTCAAATCTACCTAACGGCATTCTTTATATGCACAATGATATCAAAAATCGAGCTACATAACAAAAAAGGCCATTAAACCAAGTAGTTTCTTGCTTAGTATTTCTGGAGCATCAACCAGAAGTTATACAAAACAGCAGTTATAGACTGGGGTAGTGAGTTGAATTCAGAACCAAGAGACTCCAGGTACGAGCCGTTCACCTTTCTTCCTTCCGAAGTTGATGAATGAGAAAATGACTATCACTCCGTAGGAAGGAAACAGGAGACTATACAATAGCTTGCCACACAGCTGTTGTCGACTCTGTCATTAAAATGAGAAATTCTTGACTGATGGCACGAAAATGGCCCCATTATGAAAAAGTAAAGAAAAACAGTATTCTAACCTTTATAAACTTTCGTTTTTCACACAGAAGCTTCTAAATTTCAGATACTTCAGATAATATAGTACAGCTTAAAATTAAAGAAAGTGTGCATTCTATTCTTTATATCATTGCATCACTGATCAGCCATGACAACTTATGCTCCAGCTGGCATCTCTTTAGATCTTAAAATATCTACGAAAATAATAATGCGGTTCTACCTTTTGTGAAATTTTACTTTCACTGTGTTAAGACAGACTCTGCGAGACAGAAGATTAAAAAATAAATTTAATCTAAATGTCATATATCATCACTGAAAGTAACTGTCATTTAAAACCATGTATACCTTCATGCTTAAAGCTAAGTGAAACGTACTTTCTAATATATGCGAAGAGGAAAGAAATTCTAGGTACGTAAGTACATTTGCCCAGATCTTACATGGCTCTGTTTATCTTCGCAAAACAAAATACTAGCACTGTTAAGATGACAGCTAATGCGTAGTTAATCGAAACATCGATCGACAAAGAAGATCAGTCGCATCTTCGCCTTCCTAGTTCTTAATCAGCTCGTTTAATCGTTTCTGCCTCAATGTGTGTGAATAAGAAACGTCGCCAAGGCAAAACAACAACGCGCTTTGCAGGATTGAAATCACCATCACTTACCGGACACACTTTCCATTTTCGCTCCGTGGTTCATCAGAGGTCCGTGCGCACCGCTGACGCGAACAGTCGGACGGCCCGAGGGTCGCAAAGCCAACGGGCGATCTTCGGCATAGTAATTTGAGTACACTTCTCTAGCTTTTGCGACGCAGTAGGCCCTAAAGCATTGTACCGGTGAAAACGAGCATTCGGTTCTTATCCTGATGTCATCTGTACCTGTCTGCCCAAGAACGAAAGCGTTCTGGCTCTATTTCCGCCAGTTCGAAGGGAGGTTCCTTTTCGGCAATCCATTCTGCGAGAAACTTTCCAACACCGACTGCAGAGCCAAGTTCATCGCTATAACGCATTACGGTTCAGAACGAAAAGAACCTCTATTTAGCAACAGACGGTAAACTTTGCGGGCGTGCACACCGAGGGTCAATATTCCATTAAGAACAATTTAATCTTAAGTGAATTTTATGCTAAAATAATACTATGAAAGTGAGGGCATAACTCCGCCAGAAACTGATTTTAGCGCCCGCCCTCTTACCAATTTGAGAGTATTAGCATTGAATTTAAAGGCGTGAGACTCCTATCATTTTTCTGTCATGCAAAAATTTTCTGCTAAATTTTGATCTTCTCTTCAAGATTGTCTCACTGCTTTAACAAAACTCTAAAACAAAATTGCGATAAAAATGAGCTTTATGTTGAAGTTAAATGTCTGCCGTAAATGTCCAAATTCTTCACAAACAACTAGGGTTACGATCTAAAATGCCCTCATCCTTAAAATACGCACTCTAAACTCTGTAAGCCACTTCTCAGTCTTCAATGCTGAGTTATGATGCACCGCAGACCAAAACTAATGCAGAACAGGATTCTGAAACACCAATTGTGTTTTGCCATAAGTTACTTACAAAAAGCCCAAAGCCACCCAATAATTGTGGTTCTGTAGCAAAGGCCCGACCAAAGGAAGGCCATCGGGTGTCATACACATGATTTTAGTCGAAAACTCGTCGATTTCCACATCCTTCAAAGCTGGAACGATCGAACATGCTCGATGATAGCAGGACTTCAGATAACTGAAATCTTGGTGATCCTGTTCGTTGCCTGCAATAAAAGACAATACTGTAGCTATATAAGTAATAGTTAAAACTATTTGCGATTATGTGCCAATATAACAAACGTGACGTCAGTTCCTTGAGTTTATTCGACAAATTCCGCTAGGCCACATAAGCGGAACGATTATGCCATGTAAGCTCGAAGAAATGACGTGAATCGGTTGTTCTCGTCAGTAGCAGTTTTAATCAACCTTAGTTGATAAACTCAAATTGCTGTTGGGTATTAATACGAAATGATAAGCAATTTGCAGGGTTGTGTGAGAGGCGAATATGGATGAAAACCACTGCTGAACGCTGTCATCAACTCATTGCAAATGCGCTTCAAAAGTAATATGGAAGTTACTGCATGATTACGACATGGGTGTGACGAAAAGATGTGCGACATTAAACTCAGGTGCTTGTGGCTGTAGCTGTGGATCTGCATCATCAATATAATGCGTGGTAGGAGTCAATACCGTTGCACTAAAGAGCTGCGTAACCTGGCAATGGTGGCGTTAAATTTACGTTAAAGTCAATGGGTGTGCTCGAGCAAGCTGTCGTCCATGTATTCTATGGTTTGCTTCTGTGTCATCGGCTGAGAGATAATAACCGGGCTTTAATCACATTCACGGCCGCGGTGAGGGAACCGTGGCAGGAATTTTTGCTGATAGTGTTACCACGTGATCCAAAAATACTATGACCTGCAATGGCAGATCAAGGCGTGGATGAAAAATAGAACGTACTGCTGTAGCTTTCTTACCACCTAATTGCATTTTCTATCCGTGCTACGAATCGACGTTACACCTTAGCACCAGACAAGTTATATTGTCTCAGGTTGAAAAAGGCAGTGTAACAGTGGACCCTAGTCCTAACCTCTCAGAATGACTTATGTCCTTTCATTATGTGTAAAATAAGTTCAAAAATATCATAACTCAAAGTAGCCAAACGCTGGCGACATTTAGCAAAGATTCCATTGCCCCATGTTTACTCAGACAAAAATGCAAGGAACATACCTTTAGATACAGTGCTTTCGCCGTCTCCGTCCTGCCAGTTTTCCAACACTCTGGCATATTGCTGCGGTTCAAAAGCACCAAATATAAAGGTGTCCCTATAAACTTTAATATTAAACACTCTTCTTATATGCGGGAGATCAATTCTATGGTCATCACGTTTCTAACCGATTGTCAAGCAAATACATTTTATTACAGAAATTACCAACCTTTCGAGCCTTATTTTGCTTGTTGTTAGGCAAAATTCATTTTACCTTGACAATAAGCCGAGTATGGCTCGAACCATCTGTTATTTCTGCAATAAAACGTATATGCGAAGCAAGTAAGAAACACGAAGTCCATGATGTCCCCATAAAAGCAAAATTAACATTTTTAAAGTTAAAAATTGACGCAAACACACTAATCCAAATGATACACTTTACAAAAAAGTACAGCAAATCTGTCGGACTGCCAGAGCTTTAGCTGGTGTTTTACGTGTTTCATGGACCATTTTCAGGAAGTAATTCGATACGGCTTGCTCCAGCCATGAAAGGCAACCTGTGTTATGGGATGACCATGAGAGCGACCTTGTGGTCTGCATTTTTTTCAGTCGCTATAATTAGTTAGCAGCGGGTGGAAGGGAACTTGTAAAAATCTATGCTAAGTTTGTACCCCTGGTGGCAGACTTGACGATGATTGATTTTCTGATTAGAAGGCTTATAACTTTCAAACTTACACTTATTATTTTTATAATTTATTACTTTTTTGATGACACCGACGCAAAAACCAGGGAAGCTATAGGTTCAGAAAGGTCGTTCTGCGAACCAACAGCTTTAAACAGTGGCAACAGACAAAAATTAGTGTATGCATTGCATATTTAAAAAATCTGACGCGATCTACTGAGAAGGTGAAAGTTAGAACTGTCAGACAATCAGAAATTTCAATTTTGCGTGTCCATATCAGTCAG